CCAGTGAAGGAAACCTTTCGAATGGTTGGGGAGCTGGTCAGAGTTTCACCAACCTCGGGAGTGTTCTGATGAGAGGTCACGACGTTGACGACGCCCGCAGGTATGCCAGCACGATGGGCAAGCTCGGCGAGGGCGAGAGAGGTGAAGGGCGTCTCAGCGGGCGCCTTGGCTACCACAGTACAGCCTGTGGCCAGGGCAGGGCCGATTTTGCGAGTAACCATGGCGGCAGGGAAGTTCCAACTGGCAATGTTTAGCAGGCGACATCAGCGGGGTTCGGGACTGACGGCCAACTCACGGGGTGATCAAGCCACAGACACCAGCGGGCTCCTTGATGGTCCAGACCCTGTTGCCGGGTACAGATGAAGGGATGGTGTTGCCGTAAATGCGCGGGGCTTCCTCGCTGAACCACTCGAAGAAGTTGGCGGCGTAGGTGACCTCTCCTTTGGCATCGGCCAGGGGCTTACCGTTCTCCCAGGTGATGAGGGTGGTCAAATCTTCGGCGTTTTGCATCATGAGATCGTACCACTTGCGAAGCAGCTTAGAGCGCTCGCGGCCCGTCTTGTGACGGAAGTCCTTGAACGCCTCGGCGGCAGCGGCAATCGCCTTTTCAGTATCGGCGCCGTCAAACTCGGGACAGGTACCGATGAGCTTGCCGGTGGCGGGATCGTGGACCTCGAACGTCTTGCCAGACTTGGCCTTGACCCATTGGCCGTTGACGTAGCACACATCCTGCTTGAGGAGAGAAGGGTCTTTGAGCTGAGGTTTCAGTGTTAGCAAGGCCCCGGCGGCTGGAGTTTGGGGGAAGGACATGCCTTGGGGACCATGGTGGAAGCGGCTCGAAGAGTAAAGGGGACGAAAGAGTTTCGAACTGGCCTCCTAGCTGTGACCTGAGATGAGAGCTTTAATAGCCTCTGAGGGTTGCCGGGGCGCGGCAGGATACTGAGCATGATGGTGAGCCGAGGCACGGCAACGCGAAGGCCGGGGTGCAGACACAGGGCTTAATTAGGGTGATGGAGGAGGACCTCAAGGCCGCATTGGTGGGCGGGTGGGCTTGCAGGAACTGTGGAATAGACGGGTTGTTGTTGGCCTCGATCACTGGTTCAGATGGTCCAGGTGGTTCAGGCGTGCAATCAAGACCTGCAAAGGGGTAGGTTGAAGATGAAGGTGTTCAATTGCTCGGAATGAAGCCAGTCTCGCTGATCACGTTATGACGTTCATTCGGCGTCGAGCACCGGGCCGGGACAACGAGGGGAGGGGCTACCAGGTACCAGCGCCCACCCGGCTTTGGTCACAGAGTTACAGGCAGGTGTGATGGGGGAAGTGGGGCTCAAGGCCGTCATGATTGCTGCTAAGTAGGAGCGGAGGAGGAGTAGGTAGGAGCTATGACCATGCCATTCGTTGGTTGCGCCGACTGCCGTGTCCCATCTGGCTCAACAAGAGGAGGACCGACCGACCTACGTACCTACCTTTATAAGGTACAAGGAGGCAGAGTCTTCATCTAACTCTCATCGCATAAGCAATGCCAAGAAGCGGGCAAGACCTCTTGCCCTGATGCAGCCTCAATGAAAGATGTCACCCCGTACCTCTGAGCGTGAACCTCTCTCCTTCCTCCATCATCAATTTGAAGTTTCAAGCGGCATCCCCCGACGACCTGGGCCATCTTGCCCGCGAAACGCAACTGTCATCCTCCACAGGATCACCTGCCATTGAAAACTCGCCAGGGGGCACTTAGGCCAAGTGCCATGTCCAAAGAACTCGCGGCACCAACGTAATGGCCCCATACCAACATGACGTTTTGGACCCTCTCGCTGTTGTGGCCGAGAGAGCCCGCGACGCTGTTACCGCACTGGCACCGTGGCTTCATTCACGAGCCGGTGTCATTTTGAGACAGTTTACGCAGTTGCGAGCCTCTGTCGACATGCTGTACTCATTGCTCCTCGTTGCAGCCTCCCTTACCTCTCCGGCTGATGGCGTTCATGTCGTGCCAGGGGTCGAGAGTACGAGCCCCATTTTCGATGCCTTTATGAGCTTTTCCATCGAGTTTGTCTTCTGGCCCGACTTCGCTGGTAACAAATCTCACCCCAATCGGTTCTCCGATAATCTGCTTGAAAACCTAGGCCAGCTCCAGGGCGTACGACCCTATGTTCGCGTTGGCGGCAACACGCAAGACTATGCCTTGTACGATGAGTCTCTCCCTTATGCCGTCAACGGCACCTATGACCTGAAGAGGTCGAAGGATTACCCCACGACCATTGATATTGGCCCATCTTTCTTCGAGTCCTATAGCACGTTCAACAACACCAAGTTCACGCATGGCTTCAATCTCGGCATCGGCGGAATCAAACCTGAAGGCCGTGCTGCATTGCTGGCTACCGTGCCTCTAGCCTGCAAGGCCATTGGCAAAGCCAACCTTGACATGTGGGAGTACGGCAATGAGCCTGATCTTTTCTCCATCTCTGCTCAGGGTCCAGTGCGGCCTTTGACCTGGAACGCCGAAGAATACGTCAAGGAGTGGTTGAACGGTACCAGAGATATCCGGGGCGCTCTGGAGAAGTCATGTCCTGACATGCTAGAGGGTGATCTATATGGCTACGTCGCCCCATCAAATGGCGGTGTCTACAACCCTCTCCAGGCTGGTGAACAGTGGTCCGAGGGTCTCAATCGCGACGGTAACGTCAAGCTCTTCTCGACGCACAACTACATCAGTGGAGCCGAAAGTCCCGGGGTCACCCTCCAAGACACGTTGATGAACCATCATAAGACAACGCAGTCCGTCGATGCCCATGTGAGGACATATCGCGACTTGACGGCCCACCACGATGACGTCCCGCCTCATATTCTAGGCGAGCACAACTCCCTCTATCACCAGGGCAAACCGGGCCTGTCCAACTCTTTCGGAGCAGCCCTCTGGGGCATCGATTTCAACCTATACGCGGCCTCTGTCGGCATCAAACGTGTGCACATGCACATGGGCACCGACTACCGGGTAAGTTTTGCAAATGAGTCGTTCTCTCTGCCCCTCATTACCTCAGCTCTGTACTAACGCCTTGGTAGTACGGCAGCTGGCAGCCCATCACCACATCCACGACAGTAGCCGGCACCAAACCCCCCTACTACGGCAACGTTGCCGTGGCCGCCATGCTCTCTCCCGGTCGCGCTGTGCCGCCACCCCGCATCTCCGTCGCCCATATCTCGCTTCCCACCCCACGCGCCGCCGCCTATGCCGCGTACCACAACTCAACACTAGCCCGCCTTCTCGTCCTCAACCTAGAGGCTCACAACTCAACCGTCAACGGCACCGGCGGGATTCCCGACCCCACGGCCCCAGCCCGCCCGTTGTTCCGCTATGCATTTGCCGTGCCGGGGCTGCACGGGTCGGCACGGGTGCAGAGACTTTTCGCAAACGGCAGTGACGCCATCTCCGGGATTACGTGGGACGGCTGGAGCTATAACCAGGAGCTGGCAGATGGGAGGCCCGTGAGGCTGCGCAATGTCACGGTCGGAGAGAGGGTCGAGGTACGGGAGGGTGTGGTGGAGGTGGAGGTGCCAGCAAGTCAGGCTGTGCTCGTGAGTTTCGGAGAGGCCGGGGAAGAATGAGGGAGGGGCTAGTGTTTCGATGATGTATGAATTTTGTCACAAAGGGGCAACGCCATGCAATGAAGGCACGTTGCTCCCGGGAAACTTGACTACTACGACGACACGGTTTGTAACACGGGCATATCGGCAGTTTGCATATCACGAAAGAAAGGCTGAGTTCGAACCCTGTCTGACAATGTCATGTTTGTGTTGCAGCTCAGATAGTGCAGGCTACGTAGTGTACATGAGAGAAACTGTCCCGTCTCGTGGGCGGCCGGCCTATACACTGGCCATGGATGGTTTCATTTCCATGCCCCACAGACAGTAGTGAGTAGTAGTCTTGTAGCACAAGAATTCCGACGTCCTAAACTCCAAGCAGAAGAGACAGATTGCTTCACACCTGCCCGTCACGACCATTTCTTCTAACGATAGGAAACAAAACGAAAAAAAAGGCATCACTCTCGGCATGGGCTCCCGCCCAACTCAACCGTACTGCTGCCTCAGCGGCAGCTTGCGATCCAGCGTCTGGAAGGCCATGGTCCTGGGCGTGTACGGCTGGACCATGACCCTCGGGCTGGCGGGTCCCTTGCCGCCGGCCATGCTGGCCATCTCCCACTGGCCGCCCGTCTTGACGGGGCTGCTCCTGTCCGACTCGACATTGTCGTCGTCGTCGTCGTCGTCGCTGTCGTCGTCCCAGCGCGAGTTCTTGCGGTGCGGATGCTTGTCGTCCTCGGTGGGCCACATGCCCCAGACGGCCATGCCGAGGTTGACGAGGACCACGGCGAGCATGAGGACGGTGACGGCGAAGGAAGCCTTGGCGAGGCGGCAGGACTTTTCGGCATTGTGGCGGCCGCCGGCGGGGGCGCAGGAGCGGGTGATGTACCAGGCAATGTTGGAGGGGCGCTCGGGGTCGGCGTGGTCGGGGCCCATCTGGCCGTACATGGAGGTTGTCCAGAGGGCCGTGAGGATAATGTTGAAGATGAGCGCAATGAGGGGGTAGTAGACCTTCATGATGAAGAGCACCATGCGGACTATGAGGCTGAAGAGGGACACGAGTGTCAGGGCGACGTTGAAGTCGGTCAGGCTGTTGGTGTTGGTCAGTATGGAGCACCTCGATGTGAGCCAGAGATTAGGAGGAGCACGCACGATTGTGACCAGACAAAGGGGATCTTGGGCAGAGGGCGGTAGTTTGCGTGGGCGTAGAGAATCATGCGAGGATCCGAGTTCCAGCCGTTCTCGTAGCCAATCTGCCACATCTTGGTGCGCCAGGTGTTGGGCTGGGCGATGCCGAAGAGGACGAGGAGGGGGACCATGCAGAGGAGCTCAGCGAGCATGTTGAACCACATGTAGCGCTTGGCCGAGGGCCACTTGCGGTGGAAGATGCGGTAGTTCATCTTCGGCGTATGTGAGGGTTTCGGATTTTGAGGTGGTATGTTGTGAAAGAGAATGGAATGTCAGTCTTCGAGGTTGAGCTCAGTCGAGGGGTTGTCGTCGTCTTTCCCCCGCTTTGTCTATGTTCACGTCGGGTGGCGGAGTTCTTTGTACCGCTCAAGGCGCAATCGTCGCCAGAAAGGTCGTCTTTCACATTGGTCCAGATGCCAGCTTCACGGACCGTGTCGTGCCACCGATGGATCGCTGCAAGTTGTATGTTCGTCGTCTTCGTCGTCGTCGTCGTCGTCTTCTCAAGGAGGGGGAGAAAGAGAAGAGCCGCGCTGGTCCCCATGGGCGGTGGCAGGTTTAAGGGCCATGGGCCTCACGGCATGCCGCCCGCCGTTCGTTGGTCTCTGCAGCATTTGGGGTGGTCGTACTGGGATGGCTGCCAGTCTTGCCGGGCATGCGAGAGCAATCACAGCGACCATGGCCAATGGGGGCAGGTTGTCACCGGGAGGGGGTGAGATGTAAGCGCCGTGATGAGGGGCGAGGGTCGTGATTTGGCGGTTGGGGGCTGGGGCCTGGCCAATGAGCGCCCGCGAGTAGGCACTCAGGGTGCACCTGCAGATCATGGGTCCGTGGCCCCTTCCGTTGCCGCCCACTGCCCGCTAGCCCGGTGGGGGCTTCGGGGGGTAGCCCAAGCTTCGTGAGAGCTCGCCGGAGCTCCACCCTCACTTCACAACGACATGTCGACGTTGCGGACAAACCGTTGACCATAGATCGCTACGGCCATGACTTGCACTTGCATCACTCGAGTAGACTCTTGTCTTCAATTCAATCACATTGTCGACTGCTTACGGTATGCCTAATACAGGGCACCTCTGAATGTGGGGTAGATGAGAGAGGTATCGCATCGCCTGTCGACTCTTTCCCCATCACGGGAGCGAGGCTCGACCCGGCCCTGTATTAATACGCAGTAGTCCTACACCATATTCAACTATCTTCTGATATCCGAGACTCGACCCGGTTGCGGGAGGTGGCTCCTAGCTCGACCCTGCGCATCTTGGTCGATACCCTTGGGAACAACATCTGCCCGTTGATTGAGGATATTGGTGGTACCCCAGGGAGCCTCCTTTCACACTCGAAGAAATCCTATCCTCGAAAATAACCGATAGATGATGACGGGACAAGATCTGGTCACTATAGATACAGACAGCGCTCCCGGCCGGCCCTTCCAGGCTCGATTATCCCGCGGACTCCGTAACCCTGGTCGCTACCAGCAAGGAAACCTGAATACCCGTCTCACAGGACAGCCGGGGAGGTCCTGGTGAGATGGTACGACCTCCTCAGAAGTATCGGCATGCCATCGTCTCTGTGACAATTTCCCTAGTTCTACACAGTTGACCTCTCGACCTTCGATTTCCCCGGCACTCTGCTAATTGGCAAACTCTAGGGTGTCCACTCGCTTTGCTGAGAAATTTGACAGCACCTCCAAGGAAATTTCAGGAGAGGAAAATCTTGTTAGCTTATACAAATGTACACGTGAACCAGCAAGCATCGCGGTTCATATCATGAGCTCCCCTTCGAGCTTCAACCCCGGATCACGGTACATTTAAGGATCCCACGAGCACCTTGAGACGATTTCATCTTGATGTCCCTGTCTCTTGTGGCCACCGCGAGAAGAATGAGGCTTAGTCTCACTAGTGCATGTTGTGCCTCGACGAGGATGACGTGGCGCATCACAAAAAGCTCTATATACGGAGAATATTGGAAGTCCTGCCTGCCGACCCAGCAAGCTGCGGTCGCCGAAGTATGCCTTGAGGACAGGAAAATGGAAACCATATTGCTGGATTGTATATTTGAGCTACCCTTCCATCCTGTAGCGTAACTGACCTAGCAGGAATGCATCCAACCAGCTTAACTGCCTCCCCTGTGATGGCTCACGCCAGACGCTACGAGGTCGTTACCAGCTCGTATTCCCAGCCATTCGGCAAGCTCGAAGTCCCGTTCTAACTTACTTCCACAGATCAGGATCACGAACCATAGCAAGTCCCAAGCTTCAAAGGCCAAGGAATATCATCCAAACAAAATGTGATGGTAGGCCATGCATCGTTCTCACAGGAAGATGCCACTACCACGACGAACAAATGCTCTTGGATAAGGAGAAAGGGACGGGATGTTGGATATTGTTGGCTGAACGCTGAAGCTCACTTATCTGAACATGTGGTGTATAGTGGATGACATTGATACATGGAAGCTATTGCTGATTTTAGTCGGAGCATGTGTTATTTGAGGGGGGGAAAAAGAATGTTTGTTTATTGAATTCGAGTGAGCATGATGCATTGGCAGACCTCAAAATTCGCTGCATCCTACAGAGAAAGAGAGAGATACACGCCGGACCGTAGAGAATCAGATGGCGAGGCAGATTGCTGTCAACGAAGGCAGACATCTACCCTCAACAACGATAACAACGCTGGTCTGCTGATTTGACCCACACAAGAACTGCTTCCATCTCATCATTCTTGCCACTGACTCCAAATACGAACCTCACACTCTTTCATCGCTGGCGTTCATCACGATCCTCCAACTGAGAATAAAGCCACTCGGCCTGCTGCTCTTCCAATCTAACAAGCAGCCCTCAGTTATCAGGCAGTCTGTCCCCGAACAACCTGGACGGCACCTTGATAGCATCTGACGCACGTGCGGCCGAAGCTAGTGAGCCTGCGTAGAAGATTCGTGATCGACGCAGCAATGGGCTTCTACGCTCCCAGACTGGCGGGGCGCCTGCCATCGTGCGCACATTCCACGTGCGAAGATCTTCGGGGCGCGGAAAATACTCCGTGTGTCTAGTAATGCCTATTGCCTGCCGTCGATTCCGCGATCCTTTCTCCTGTCGGCGCCTTCCCAGTCCCGCCCTGCGTAGCGCTTCAGGAGAGCATGCTTCACCGGACTGGCCTGGCGACGAAGCGTAAACTCTGTTTGGGACGAACACGACCGCGAACGGGCAGAGAGGGGGGGTTGTGTTGTGGGCGTCTCGGCAAAAGCGGGTGCACCTTGACAGCTTTTGCGCTACTGCGACTGACAAGAGACGAACCGTCATCGTAGGGGGCTAGGGGCACATAGGGGCATAGTGTCATTGCTTCGGCTTTCACATTCAGACCATAGAATCCTCAGTTCTCTGTCTCAAGAACGAACGAATTTCAACGACTTTGTCGTTTCCCGTGTTTCGGTGCCAAAAGGTTGGATGTCTTTGGCGGGACCAATCGAGGCGAGACAAGGCGTTTGCTTGGGGCCAGTGTGTTTCAAGGACCCGAACGTCTGTTGACCACAGCGTATTGCTTTTTTTTTTTTTTTCTCCCCGAGGTTGGCACTACGCGATGCGGATCCGATGGGCTTGCTCGAGGTTGAAGGGCAAGAAGGGTTCTTTGACCGGTCTGCCACCAAACGGTAAGGCGAGCGGCCCACTAGGCAATGTGAGGCATGATGTGTGTGTGTGTGTGTGTGTGTGTGTGTGTGTATGTGTGTGGATGAGTGGCCTCAGCCAGGAAAAAAACGATCGGCGATGACAAGTGGGGCAGATTGCGGTCTGGACCGTAGATGGCGGGGATGACCCTGGCTGAAGTGCCGAGAAGGGCAAAAAGGGATTCAGAATAGGGCATGGGACGATGGGAAATGCTTTTTCTGCTGGCGCCGTTGGGGCCATTGCTCTTGGCCTGGTCGCTGGTTGGATGAGGGGTGGCCCAGGCATAGCATCCGTGACAGATCGATTGGACCTGTTCTGGTCGTCTCTCGATCTCTTACATTCTTGACGAGCATCCTTCCGAGGGTCGGTTCACATCAGATTAAGGTAAATTGGCTCGCCGCGCTGTGGAGCAGACGAGCATCGTCGTCGTGACTGCCTGCCAGAACATCTGCCTGCCAGAATCCCGATGCAAGGTCAACGTGGAACGACTAGCACAGTCGCTGCTGCACCTTTCCAAGCTCCTCAGCGTCCAGAAATGAGGCCCGTAGCATGGCACCTGCTTCTGGGGCCCAAGCAGGACGCCAAGACATGATGGCGTGTGGGCTGGTGGGTGGGCGCAACCAACGAGGCGGATGGAGCAGACAGTGACAGTGACGGTGACGGTGGCGGTGCTGGCGATATTTATCTGAGTACCTACATTAGGTACATTGACCGTCTTGACTGCGGTGAACATCAGCCAGCCTCCCAAGCATCTGCCATTGTCTGGCCATAGACGAAGGATAGCCCAAGTATCTGAGTGAGAGGTGCCTCCAGGTATGCGATTCAATTACAAGTGCAGTATTGAGATGGTATCCAGCTGGGATATCGAATGGGGTTCATCGGCGGATGGCCCGCTACCGAGGGACCACCGCATGTAGACCAAGGCGAGGTATCCCTTGGGAGTATCACATACAGACAGGTCTGGACCGCGTTTGGAACCGCCAAATTCCCCACGGCACGTCTCAGGGACGCTCAAAGGGCCCTCTTGGCCCTCTTATCCGGCAGGCTCTATTGGAACTGTCAGGCCTGTAGGAGGGGGGGGGGTCATTAGGCGGCCGAGGGGCTGGCGCTGACCGCACGCCGCGGCTGCTGATCTGTACCGTCTCTGGGTTGGCTTGGGCTCCATGCTCCATGCTCCATCCCGCATCCCGTCTTCGCTGCGCGTGCTGGCTGAGAAAGGAGCTCGCCCTGACTGATGAAGGAAAGACGTGCTGGCAACCGCAGAAAGCAAGAAGAGACAAGGCACATTTCTCCTTTCCATTCTGGGCCTTCCCTCTGAGCTTTCATGCCCACTTTGGGCTGCGCTGATAGTTTCCTTTCTCCTTTCCTACCCTCCATCTCTCCTCATTTCGAATTGCTTCTTTTAATCACTCTCCGAGCCGACAGCCAATGAGCTTACCTACCATCGACCATCGACCATCGACCACCTGAACGACCCATCCTTTTATGAGTGACAGGCCTTCTACCATCGATCTTCTGTCTCTCCTGTCTGCCCGCCCGATTGAGACCTTGCATCGCCCGCCCACTGGAATCTCGATTGCTCATACGTTCTCTCGATGAGCACTTGACCCACCCCCTGGCCCCGGGGACAATCGAGCCTATTACTTTCCATCCAGAACCCCAACAACACTCGGCCGCCAGTAGTACCACCAGCACTGCGCTTTTCACCCGTGCCCCAGTGCATGTGGCATTGTCCTGAACGAGCCGTGCCAGTACCGCCGCCCGCCGTTCCTACCTCGCCTCCTGTCCGTCCCATCACCTCCACGACTCGGGCTCACCCAGGGTTCCCCCTCGTCAATGGCCAGCGCTGCCTCGTGCGTCCAGTTGCCGCCACCACCACCGCCCCCGTTGTCGCTTTTCTCGCCTGTGCCCGCGCTGACCAGGCCCCCCAGGGTTCCTCCCACAGCGACCGACAGGACTTCGACCTCATCGTCCAGTGGGCACCTCCCCCGCACCTTCCCCCTGAAGTGAAGTGAAGTGCTGTGCTCCTGGGTCTTACCCCAATTCCCACGCGGACATTAGAGACCTGCCTGCCCCGAAAGATCCTACTACGAACCACTCGCGGGAAGTCATCACCGCACCATCCCCGACAAGGGCAGAGAGTGGAGGCAACAACAGCAAGCTCCTCCTTCCTTTCTCTTTGCTTCGATTATTCGGGAAAGAGCCCGTGAGAGCACTGGATTGGATCCTTGGCCGTCTGATTTTTTCTCTCCGTTCCCCTCTTTCGATTCCCCTGTCGCCATCGCCTCCATCGCCATCGAGACTGGCACAGCCGCCTGTCCTGTCACACGTCCAGGCCCTTCGGTCTTCGGCCGGCCCCCTCCCCACGCCCCGCCCGTACCTCTAGGTAGCCGCTTCTTGCTGTTCTGGCCGCCTCTTACAACGTACGTCCTCGCCCAGCCAGCTCGACCACCACCATCCAAGCGGCGCATTCATGCCGTTGGCCAACGACCATCACCACGACACAACCCGACCGATCTCGCCTACAGCCTCTCCCACTTCCCTCTGCGGTGGCACTCGCCGCCCCTTCTTCTCTTCTGTCGAGCCTGCATCGTCGTCGTCGTTGTTGTCGCCTCTTTCTGCCACCTTTGCCACAGGCCCTGGCGCTCCTGGGTTTCCCTCTTCACCAATTACGGCGCACTCGTCCGCTTGGCCAACATCTCCCCTGCCAGGCAAGCACCACCTCTCCACCTCCTTACCACCATCCTCTGGCCCGCCTGCTTCCTCGCCTCGCACCGACGTCCGCATCCACTCTTTCGCCCTCGATCGCCCACACGATAACGTTTGCCGATCCGATTTTGCTGTAAACACCCACGTTCGCGACGACGACATCAGCAGCGAGAGGCAGAAAAGACGCCCTCACCACCTGGCCGGAGACGACTGGTCTTCTGCAGTCAGTCGGTATGGTTTGACCACAACGCCGACACCTCGCGACACTCTTTTCTCCACCTTCCCCCACGCCTCCACGACGTGGCCGCCGACAACCGCCCGGTCGACGTATACGAAGCCTCAGCAACCCTCCCGACGACCCAACCCGCTCCCAGCAAAGCGGCCGTCCGAGGAGGATACAGCACGGTCTGGCGCCAAGTCGCCACCACTGAAGAAACCCCGCACTCGTCTGCTGCCGCCGCGTGCCATCGATCTCTCCGGAGTCCCCAGGACACCGACAGCAGCCGCAGCTCTTGCACTGCTGAAGAGCGAGGGCGTCACTTCACCCCTGTTCTTCTCAAACTCGCCCAATCCCATGTCGAGCCGTGCCCCGTTTCTTCCGCCCACAGATGCGGCCGCGGCGCTCCTGGCTCGCCTCCGCGAGGAGAATGATGTCCGCACCGTCAGGCTGCCCCGTGGCCATGTCAGCTCCGCGAGCCCGGCCCGCTCCGGCAGTACATCTGGAAGCGGCAGCTGGTCCTCCATCGAGCCCGGAGGCAGTTCTTCGAGAAGCCCCAGCAGCCAGTATCTACCCCCTGGCCTGCAGCTGCTCAACGGCTGTGGCGTCATAGAGCTGCTCGAACAAGACGAGCGGCCGACTTTTATCATCGACCTCGCCAACCCCGTCAATGGCAACAATCTCTCGCTGCACCTAATCTACGCCAATGCCTCTCTCCGAGCCTCCAGCGGCGTCCTTGAACTTCTCTCTCTCGACGGCGAGAAGGCTGAACAGGATCCAAACTACACCAATTTCAAGGCATGGGTGATGAGCCACACGAAAAACAACGAAGGCATGGATGTCTGCCTTTCCTCACATCTATATGGTAACATAAACTGGACATGTTCGACATTGCGCAAGAGGTTTCGCTTCGTCAGTGGCAACACTAGTGCCGTGTCATTGATGCCCTCTTCGCCTGGCACGGCCAAGGAGGCGCAAGTGCTCGAAGAGCGCACCAGAGGCCCGACGCCCACCTCGAACGCCTCCAACACACCGCTAGCCAACGAACCCGACTATTTCGGTGTCGAGCTGCAACCAGAGATATCCATGGATTTGGTTCCGACCGGCGATAGCGCCATGCAAAACGGTGTCGACGAGTGCCTCGAGGAGAGGCACCACAGCGACGAATTTACGCAGCACGTTTTCAAAGCAGGTCTCCTGCGACCATCGTTTGACTGGACGCGGATCACTATAACACCCGAACTCAGTGAACATATTCTCTTTGCCCGCAATACCGACTGGGGCGCCACGTCGCTCGGTCCGCTAGAGTATTGGAGCGCTGATCTCAGGGCCATGGCCAACATGGTCATGGGTAGCCCGCATCCAGCGGCCTTGTACTGGGGTCCTGAATTTGTCACTATTTACAACGAGGCCTACATTGAGCTCGCCGGCCAGAAGCACCCCTCTCTTATGGGCATGCGCTACGCCGATGCGTGGAGCGAAATTTGGGATGACTTGCAACCTATCATGCAGAGCGCGTGGGATTCCGGCCAGTCTACTCTCAAGAATGACAATCAGCTCTTCATCGATCGTCACGGCTTCACCGAAGAGGCCTTCTTTTCATGGTCGCTCGTGCCCCTTGTCGGCAGCGATGGTGAGGTCGTCGGAATCTATAACCCGGCCTTTGAGAACACCAGGCGCAAGGTAAATGAACGCCGCATGCTCACGCTGCGCGAGGTAGGCGAGAAGACGGCAGCAGCCCGTGACGTTCGAAGCTTCTGGCCACGCGTACGTGAAGGCCTCGAATACAATGATATTGATATTCCGTTTGCCTTGATTTACTCAGTCAAGGACGACAGCGAAAGCGAAATGTCTTCGATGCATTCTGGCAGCGTCGCGCATCCCCCGCTACTTCAATTGGAGGGTGCCATTGGCATCAACGAGGACCATCCTCCCCCCCTTCCCGATCTCAACCTGAGAGCCTCGGACGAGGCTTCGCCCCCTATATGCGACAATCGATGTCGATGCACGGCACGCCCGTCGTTCTCTCAGCGGAGGCAGGTACGCTGCCGCTTGATCTCATTGACGGTATCTCGTGGCGAGGATTCGGGGACGCCTCGAGGACGGTAGTCGTACTGCCTGTACACCCAACAACGGCAGGTGACTCGGTGGTGGGCTTCATTGTGATGGGCACCAACCCGCGCCGTCCTTACGACGACGACTACCAGCTCTTCATCCACCTGCTCTCCCGACAGCTTGCAACCTCGCTGGCCTCTGTTGTCCTTTTCGAAGAAGAGATTAAGCGAGGGCAGCGCGCTGCCAGACTTGCCGCGCTTGACCGCGAGGAGCTACGCACTGAGCTCATTCTGCGAACGCAAGAAGCTGTCGAGAGCGAGTACAAATTTACGCGGATGGCTGAGTTTGCCCCTGTCGGCATGTTCATCGCCAACGGCGCGGGCCAGTTCAATTTCGCCAACGACACGTGGTGGCAGATTTCACGACACCCCCGTGGAGAGGACAGTACAGACACCTGGATGCAGAGCATTCGAGATGAGGACCGGGCCGGCGTAGAAATGGTGTGGCAGGCGCTTCTCACAGACAAGGTAGCCATTACGCATGAATTCAGATTCAAGTGTAGCCGCCAGAACGGCGACAACACCATCGACACGTGGGTGTTGATGAGTGCCTTCCCCGAACGAGACGAAGAAGGCAACCTCAAGAGTATTTTCGGCTGCATCACAGACATCTCGTCGCAGAAGTGGGCCGAGGCCTTCCAGATGCAACGCAGAGAAGAAGCCGTCGAGCTCAAGCGCCAACAGGAGAACTTTATTGATATCACGAGCCACGAGATGCGCAACCCTCTGAGTGCCATCTTGCAATGTGCTGATGAGATTGCCAACACGACGGCCCGCTACCGGGAGCGTCCAGACGCTCAACCCGTCCAGACGCTCCTGGATGTCTGCACGGAAGCGGCGAACACGATCAATCTCTGCGCCAGTCACCAGCACCGCATCGTCGATGACATCCTGACACTTTCCAAACTAGATTCGCAGCTTCTTCTCGTTACGCCGGTCGACGCGCACCCTGTCAACATTGTCGAGAACGTCCTCAAAATGTTTGAGGCCGAGGTTCAGGCGCACGACATTGAGCTCCAGTTCAGTACGCTGTCCGCTTACACCGACTACGGCATTGATTGGGTCAGGCTTGACCCTTCACGACTACGGCAAGTGCTGATCAACTTAATGACTAATGCTATAAAATTCACACAAAACCGTCAAGAGCGCCGCATTTCCATAACCTTGACGGCGTCTCGAGACCTTTCCGAGGTTAAGGAAACCTCGCTGTACTTCCCCAGCCGCAGGAGCGATCTTCGCAACCTGACTAGCGACAAGGACTGGGGCGATGGCGACGAGATGAACCTGCACTTCTCTGTCCAAGATACAGGCCCCGGGTTGCGGGAAGAGGAGAAGAAGATTCTGTTCCAAAGGTTCTCCCAAGCGTCACCACGCACACACGTGCAGTATGGCGGCTCCGGGCTCGGGCTCTTTATTTCTCGCATGCTTACCGAGCTGCAAGGCGGCCAAATTGGTGTGGTTTCAAAAGAGGGTCTCGGTAGCACCTTTTCATTCTTCATCAAGTGTCGCAAAACAGCCATGCCCGCGGAGGAGTCGAACGTGGCGGCGAACCGCGCAGCCCGGCCAGGCAGGGTCTCGACGCCCACGACACCCCCACCGCCGACAAGAATGATCCGCCGTCCGTCTCACCGTCCGGCAGCGGACGCTTCACAATCGCCGGGCCCCGTGCCCGCGTCCGGCCCAACACCCTCCAAGACGGGCCATGATGTGCTCATCGTCGAAGACAACATTGTCAACCAGAAGGTCTTGCAACGGCAGCTGAAGAATTGTGGCAACGTTACGCATGTGGCCAACCACGGCGGCGAAGCTCTGGACGCCTTGAAAAAGTGTCGCTTCTGGACAGGCAAGGAGAGCGAGGGCTACCATCTGAGCGTCATCCTGATGGACCTCGAAATGCCCGTCATGGACGGCATGACGTGTGCCAGGCGGATCCGTGAGCTGGAGCGAGAAGGCGTGCTCATCGACCACATCCCCATTATTGCAGTCACAGCATACGCTCGGCCTGAGCAGATTGAGGATGCAAAGGCTGCGGGCATTGTACGTTTTGACCCATCTTCCTGCTCTTGACATTGTACTAACAAGTGCACTAGGATGATGTGATATCGAAACCGTTCAGGATACCAGACCTGACGGCCAAGATGAACGAGCTTGTTTCCAAGTACAGCAAGCTGATCGTGAACAACTGATTGGACTTTCTCGTCCCTCTATCTCTGGCGACAAGATAGATTTGCGGCCGGGGTGCTAGATTTGGCGCAACTAAGCGAGGTGTTGATGGCTGAGGTATTGTTTGGCACTTTCTTGCGACGTTAGAGGTCTGGTTGCTCTCTGCATCTGTCCTCTCGCTCGCTCTCAGTTTGTGTGGGGCTGGCAGGCTGCTCAGGATGGCGTTTGGGTGTTTGTTGTTCACTTTGACTTTTTTTTTGTCGTTCAGGACACGGGTCTCATGGGGAGGGTTCCCAGAGAGGACTTGAAATTCAGGAATCGGGATCAAAACCAGTTGGAGACTAGGCCGTGGCAAGGCCTCTAGTTTGCGTGGTTCGCGATAGCATAGGCCTGGGTGACTGGGCAGAGCGGCGGGGGGGACCAATGTGGTCTCGGCGTTTTGGATATTTGGGAGCATAATACCTAGGTCGCTAGAGAACACGATACAGACGATCATGATGGAAGTCACTTGGCTACTACTACTGGCTGGTGTTGTGCTACTTGAATGGCGTTCGCCCGTCTCTTTCCACCTTACAGTGAGGGGCAACCAGATGAGGGCCTCGAGCTATGCACTGCGGCTGCGTGATGGACGTTCCATGAACACATCCTGTTCAGTCAAGAACCTGTGGTTAAGTTATACTTGATCAAGGTCGACTTGATTCTTGGTCCATTGCATCGTCCGAGCATTGGATGATCTCTGATGTTGGGCCAAGCCGATAAGGATCGATATCGTGATACTCGCTTACCTAATCCACTAATCGGAACAATTTGCACACTCGCTCTCTCTCAGCTCGAACCTCAACAACGTTGAGCTCCTCCACGTTCTTCCTCCTTGTCTCCTGATCCAGCCAACGAGGCACGCACGACAATCCACCCCCGTCCAGCCCGACCCCATTCCGCCTTGTCAATTGATCCTGCTGAAAAACAAGGGGGGCAGCGGGACGCCGGAGGACGAAGCAGATCCGAAAACAAAGAAACAAACGAGACAAATCGGAACACGACGCAGACGAACGAGGAGAACGGACAGGGCACGATGCACTCGACTCTCCGATCCGCCACGGGCCGCACGCGCCTCGAGGCGCAGCGCACACGCGACGCAGTGGCGAGCTGCATTCGACACTTTTCCGCGTCGGGCTTCTTCGCCGAGGAGAACAGCAGCAGTGGCAGCAGCAAACAGCCGCAGCAGAACAACAACAACAACAAGCCCGTGGACGGCCGCTCGCGGTCGAGGGCTGCGGCGAGCGAGATCAGCAGCCTGCTTCGCGGCACGTCGGCGTCGTCGGGGGCCCGCGGCGGCCGCGGCGGTCTCGACGACGCGCGGACTTTCCGCGGACGGGGCGTCGAGCGCAAGACGCCGCTCAACGTCATTGGGCTGCGGAGCGTGCCGAGGGAGGGCGGTGCGGGCATCGTGCAGGTGCCTGCTGGGTTTGGAGGTCGTGGCGGCGGTGCGGCCAGGAGGTCGTTCCGCGGGCCGGGGGGGGTTCGGGGCCGGAGATGCACACACGGCGGTCGTCTCATAGACCGCGGTGGAGATCGGTCCGGTGCGGATGGCGATACCCCAAGATCTGGTAATGTAGAGCGCGAGCAGAAACGAACGCACAAGTAT